CTCTCTCTCTCTCTCTCTCTCTCTCTCTCTCTCTCTCTCTCTCTCTCTCTCTCTCTCTCTCTGTACCTGCGCAGTCACATCCGGCCGCGCTGCATTCGTCTCTCTCTCTCTCTCTCTCTATGTGTCATGCATGTTCGGTGGCTGTTTTCTCCTTGGTCGAATCATGAACATCTCACACACACACATTCCATCGATAGGATAAGCAAAATCGGAATGAATCTTCTGCTGAAACGGGGAAATATACACTGCCAGTTTTTGCTTTGCTCGTTCTATCGATCCAAGTAGCGTGCGGCGAGCTGTGGGGCTGGAGACTTAGCTGTTGGGCGAGGTTGGAGACTTATAGGCTCTCTCTCTCTCACACACACACACACACACACACTCACACACACACACACACACACACACACACACACACACACACACGCAGTCCATCGATAGGATGAGCAAAAATGAAATGAATCTTCCGCTGAAACGTGGAAATATACACTGCCACTTTTCGATTTGCTCATTCTATCGAAGTGGTTGAGGCTTGACTCGTACGATACTTGAGCTCGAGGCCACGTTTTTTTCTTTTTTAGCTACGGACCACTGGGTTAGTGCTTCTCTCTCTTTTCTTTTTCTTTCTTTTTTTTTTTTTTTTTTTTTTTTTTTTTTTTTTTTTTTTTTGACACGCATTGAACCCTGAAGTGGTGGCTGCTTGAGTGATTTTTTCGGGAAATCCGATTCGTAAGATTGTTTGGTGAAAGTGTAGGTGTCTGGTTCGGCACTTACCGCGGTCTTTTGTCTTTTGTCTTCTACTTTCTGTTTCCGTACGTTGAAGGTTCGAGACTCGTTCCTTTTATGATTTTTTTGTCCTCGGATGTCGGAAGCTTGCAGCTGTAGTCGTTGATGTGGTACGCAGGTCTGAAGTAGTACGATTCTTCCTAAGTAGACTTAGACTTTTTGTTTTCCTATATAAACGCTACAGTCTAGTCGTTACTTACCTGCGTCGACTACAAGACCCCTGATGAAGACTGGTGGGCGGACCAGTCGAAACTCGTCAGGTCAAGCCGCCATGAGCATTACTGTTCTTATATTCCAAAAAAAGTTGCGTTCAGGGATTTTTTCGTTGGACTGGCGTTTAACATTCCTTTTCTCCCCTCTCTCTCTCTCTCTTTCTCTCTCTCTTTCTCTCCTCTTTCCTCTTTTCTTTTTCTTTTTCTTTCTCTTCTTCTCGTTCCATTTGCGTTGTCTATGGCTGTGAACATCTTTCGAGTGCTGATGATGACGTTTTGTTGATGCCTGTATTCGACGAAGTCTTTCGACTACTGCTTGTCTCCACGGAGTAACCAACGTAGGAATCACACTACGATCTGTGTGGCTTCGATTACCGAGTCGTCGAGTCATCATGGCTAACCTACCAACGTCTACTATCGTTCGCACATGCTTTAACTGCGGTGACCCTGGACATTTTGCGAGGTGGTGCCCACGTAACTCTAATAATAATTCCGTTATTTCTACTCAGCCACTACTTACTCTTACTCCGAATACCTCTACTACCTCAACTCCGCTGGTTACCGGTCAGGTTAGAGGTAATGGGTGGTACGAGGCGAAACAATGATTGATTTTACTGGAGAACACTGTTGCTGAGATGAAGATTCGGCATGATGCCGAGATTGAGAGAGAGAAGATCAAGAAAGAGGAAGAAGAAAAGAAGAAGAGGGAACAAGAGGATCAAGAACGGAGGGAACGAGATCGGAAGGAGAGAGAAGAACAACATAGCTTAATGATGGAAGGCATGAACAAGAAACGAGAGAAGGTGTGTGAAACGATGAACGGTAAGAAGAAAGAAGAGCCAACTCATCCTGATATTGAAGCTATGAAAAAGGAGATTGAGCGCCTGAAGGCTACTAACCAGAAGGCGGTAGCTTCGACTTCCACCTCCAAAGCTATGATTGAGGGCGAGGAGCTGGTGCGACAACTGCTAAGGGAGCAGGAGTTGACGAATCATAAGCTTGAGGAGTCTATCGTGACACAAAGGAGGTTGGAGTCGCTTGAGAAGGAGATGTCATTGATGAGAACTATGAGAGATGAAGCCTTGAACGAGGTCGAAACATGGAAGAACGAAGCCTTGCGTCCTGGAAACAAGAGGGGTTGTGTTGCAGTCACTCCTTCCACGGCGTGTCGCACACGGTCAAGAGTTACTCCACCGCGATCTCCTGAATAGGCGTCTGGATATGCCGATCTCGTTCATCGTCATTCTCTTGAAGTGGATGCCTTGAAGAACTTGTGGTTGACTGAGATGAACGCGAGACGGGAGAAAGAACAAGAGAACGAGCGGCTGAAGGCAGCCATGGCAGAAGATGCTAACATCAGAAGAGAGAAGGAGCTGGAGAACGAACGTCTGAAAGCTACGCTGGCGGATCTGGAAGCAGCGCAACGTATTCCCTGTACTAACCTGCGCCAAAGAATGGATGGGATGGCTGCACGATCTACAGGGAAGGGGAAGAAGAAGACCGTGACTGACCCATCGTCGTCAAGAGTTAACGAGAAGCAAAAGTACATCAAGGATATGAGGAAGGATTTGGGGGGGAAGAAGAAAGATGACATCATGGAGATCTGTTTGGAGGAAGGACTGAAGTACACTACTCTGAAGCAGTCTGTTGCGGATATCATCGCGCAACGGGTGATGAAGGCCTTTCCCGATGACGGAAAGACTGTGCACGAGATTTCGGACGACAACGGTGGTGGCCCTTCCAATGAAGAACCGCTGGCCGAGGGAGACGCTGCTACTTCGTGAATTCTCCCCCGAGCGCGGCTAAGCTATGGTCTTTTGCCTTATCTTATTCCAAATTACGCTATTCCTCCAGTCAATGGTTGAGAAGCATCAGGTTGAGTGAGCTGTTCAAATTGGTGGTCATTTGCTTGATTCTGTCTGGGTGTATTCCATGGGCTTCGAAGCTTTTCGGGCACATTTGTGACTGGTGGCGAGACAATAATGGTGAGTACAATCAACGTGGTTCTGTTGACTATGCGCTCGTTTCTCCTTGGTGTCGACAGATGTATGTAGGTAGTTCTAGTAGGTGCACCGACGCTAGATGGCGCGAACATGTTTATAGAGCTTGCAGTGAGACTGTTGTGGAGAAGGGTTGTAGGAATGAGCATTTGTATCGATGGTTGAGGCGCTTTGGTATCCAACGGTATGTTATTATTCCAATCTGTTTCTGTCTTGAAGACGATCGACTGGCGACAGAGAAGTTTTTTATTCAATTGTTTAGTCCTTCTTTAAATACTAAAGATAGGAAGAAGAATTCTCGTCGGAGACGCCCTGAGAAAAGGGAACGAAGTCGCAGGAAGAAGAAGTATGTGGTTCCATGTAGTCTTTCTGCTTCTCCATCTGTTAGTTTGACTTCTTTACTTCGTTTCTATTCGTCCGTTGGAATTGTGTCAACTAGCTTACTGCGTATTCTTAATTACTGCGTTGATAATCACATATCTACTTGTTCTGTCGTCTGCCGGGGGGAACATTGACGAGCCTCAGAGATGGTTGAAAATTGTTGAAGCGATGTTTTGGTTCTTCGATAGTATCCTGTGACTCTCATACAGACCAACTACGATCTTTCAAAGGATGCTTAAGGGATGGTTCTTTTTTGGTCTTTTCATCCATTGTCCCTTTTTGCCAGAAATTCTTGTCTTTAAAACCCATTCTTGCTAACCTTCTGAGTAATCCCTCTTCTCGTAGGCAACTTCTTTCATGGAAAATTGGGACCCTTATTCAAGCCTTCTCGGGGGTTCGTGCATTTCAAAATAAGCGATCACGTAGTAGACTAAGAATTATTTTGTCTAAGTCAATTTAGTCGAGATTTGATTTACCTGTTCGGAAGAGGCTCGTTGTCCGTATTCGTTTTGACCACCTCCTTTGTAAGTCTGAGGTGCGGAAGCTCTGTGTGCGTTTGGTCAATCTGCTCCCCATTCAAGCTGACTGGAAGCGTTTGATAGTGCGACATATACGAATAGTATAGTGCAAAAATCAGTCTATAGGAGATGTCTTTCATAACTTTCGGTGCTCTTGCTGTCATATAGAAGAACAGTTCCCCAGAACTGAGCAGCATATGTCATTTAGAATTAGCGAGGTTGACTTTTTCCCTGACTGGCTTCGCAATTCCCGTAATGTTCTTCGGCCTTCCGTTTCTCATCCAGCAGCCTCTTTGAGGGGCCAAATTGTTCGTTTCTTTCGAAGTTATCATCCTTCTTGTCAAGTGGATGGTGCTCGGTTGACTTCTTCTGAGCTTAACAAATGCTTTACTTTTTCCGTTGACCTTTCTAGCTCGCATTCCGTTGATGAGTTGGAAACTGTGCAGTAGTGCCTTGAGAATCTGATATGCGTACCCATTGACCACAATTTGGGTGATACATTTGTATGTTGTCCGGTAGTCTATGCTCAAGGGATGGAGAAACTTTTTTCTAATAATCCGACTTTTTTGCATTGTAACGAGTCAGAATCTGTTGTTGTTGAGCGAGTTAAGGAGGATTTTCACGAGGGCAAGTTTGATAGCATTGGACGTTGGGATCGGGATGCTTCGTTCGGGAATGCCTACTGTGTACCGAAACATAAGACATCACTCATTGGCGACCCATCTGTCCGGTTTACCCAGAGGGATCGGCGCTGAGTGAGAAACGTGTTGGTTATGCCATCAATGCGTTGCTGTGGAAACTTCCCTACAATCTGCACTTTAACTTGGCTGTACTAACGATCTGATGCCAGGCTTGAGGAAGTTGAATTCGACTAGTAAGAATGACAAATTGTTGCTGAGAGCCTCCTTCGATGTAAAGGAGATGTTCTCGAGTCTCCCTCATGATTCTATTATTCGTGCGCTGCTTTGGGTAATTGATTTTTGGGAGAGAGATGATTTCAGAGGTGTTATGATAAGATTGCATGGAAAGAAGGCAGTTGTGACGAAGGGCAAAGACGAGGAAGGATGGGTGATGGTTTCCTTTCACAAAATCATCCGTTATGTGATTTGTGAACTTGATAATACGTTCATTAAAGCTAATGGACGACTTTTGCAGCAGAAGATTGATATTCCCATGGGCAAATCCACTAGCCCTGCTTTGGCTTGTTTGTTATGCGCTTTCTCTGAATTTTTGTTCCTTGACTCCTTGGGAAAGCAACGGAGATTGATTCATGGCTTTAGGATTGTAGATGACGTCCTGTCTTTGTTCGTTACCATCGATACGATGCAGATTCATATCAGCAGGCCAGGGAACTTCTTAGATTGTTTGAAGGATGTTACGACCATAATCCGACTCTGGAAAAAAACGAGCAGTGGTAATGTGTGGGACTTCATTGGCTGCGTTATCAAGATTAGTGAACATTCTGGAAGGGTTGACTGTTTTGCTACCCACAAGAATCAAAGGTGTAATTCGCTGATCTTTTAGAGTATTCAGGACTTTTCCTCCTACTCCGGTAAAAAGCAGAAGGTAGCGATGATTATTTCTTTTCTTCATCGGGCACGAACATTTACATCTGTTTCTGGGATTGAGCTGGCCTTTCTCTTGTCTCTTAAGCGGGAACTGTGGTGGCGTGGCTATCCCGACGGTTACTTCGATTCTGCAGTAATCCACTTTTCTGACAGATATGGGGGATGTTGGAAGCAGTGGATTCCTTTTTTGACAAATTGGCAGAGGTTGTTCAAGAAGGGGTCGTGTTTAAAATAGGCAGGTCTACTTGTAAGAATGAGTCCGTTTGTGGGACCTTGTATGGGACCTTGTAAGGGTCTGTAGATAGTGTAAGAATGGGTCAATCTGTGGGACTTTGTATGAGACCTTGTACGGGTCTGCAGTATAGTATTTCGTATGGCTTTTATGATTTTTTTTTCCTTGAGTGTCGAACCGTAGTCTGTACTTAGGACCGCTTTTCTCACAAGTGGTTGAGACTTGACTCGTACGATACTTGAGCTCGAGGCCATGTTTTTTTCTTTTTTAGCTACGGACCACTGGGCTAGTGCTTCTCTTTTTTTTTTTTTTCTTTCTTTCTTTCTTTTTTTTTTTTTTTTTTTTTTTTTTTTTTTTTTTTTTTCTTGGCACGCGTTGAACCCTGAAGTGGTGGCTGCTTGAGTGATTTTTTCGGGAAATCTGATTCGTAAGATTGTTTGGTGAAAGTGTAGGTGTCTGGTTTGGCACTTACCAAGGTCTTTTGTCTTCTACTTTCTGTTTCTGTACGTTGAAGGTTCGAGACTCGTTCCTTTTATGAATTTTTTGTCCTCGGATGTCGGAAGCTTGCATCTGTATTCGTTGATGTGGTACGCAGGTCTGAAGTAGTACGATTCTTCCTAAGTAGACTTAGACTTTTTATTTTCCTATATAAACGCTACAGTCTAGTCATTACTTACCTGCGTCGACTACAAAACCCCTGATGAAGACTGGTTCGCGGATCAGTCGAAACTAGTCGGGTCAAGTCGCCATGAGCATTAATGTTCTTATATTCTAAAAAAGTCGCGTTCGAGGATTTTTTCGTCAGACTGGCGTTTAACATTCATTTTCTCCCCTCCGTCTCTCTCTTTCTCTCTCTCTTTCTCTCCTCTTTCCTCTTTTCTTTTTCTTTTTCTTTCTCTTCTTCTCGTGCCATTTGCGTTGTCTATGGTTATGAACATCTTTCGAGTGCTGATGACGACGTTTTGTTGACGTCTGTATTCGACGAAGTCTTTCGACTAC